ACTCCATATATTCTGTCTTTGATCGGCTTAGGCGAAGACCTTTAGATTCCAACACTTCTCTCCAAAGGTTAAGCTTTGCATTTACCCCTTCCTGAGTTTCATCTATCAACACTATATCGTCTGCAAAAAGCATACACCAAGGAATATCATCTTGAATATGTCCTGTTAACTCATCCATTACCAACGCAAAAAGGTAAGGACTTACGGATGAGCCTTGATGTAATCCTACAGTTATGGGAAAGCTTTCGGTTTGTCCTTCATGAGTTCTTACGGCAGTCTTTGCTCCTTCATACATATCCTTTATAGCCTGGATATATGCTACTCGTACTCCTTTCTTCTCTAAGATCCTCCAAAGAATGTCTCTTGGGACCCTATCATACGCTTTTTCCAAATCTATAAAGACCATGTGTAAATCCTTTTTCCCATCTCTATATCTTTCCATCAATCTTCGTAAGAGATAGATTGCCTCCATGGTTGAGCGCCCTGGCATGAACCCGAATTGGTTATCCGAAACCCGTGTCTCTTGCCTCAATCTATGCTCAATGACTCTCTCCCAGAGCTTCATTGTATGACTCATTAACTTAATACCCCTATAGTTCATGCAATTTTGTACGTCGCCCTTATTCTTGTTGATAGGCACCAAAGTGCTCGTTCGCCACTCATTTGGCATCTTCTTTGTTTTCAAAATCCTATTGAAAAGGTCAGTGAGCCATGTTATACCTGTCTCTCCTAAAACTTTCCACACTTCGATTGGTATATCGTCTGGGCCTATTGCTTTTCTATGCTTCATCTTCTTCAAAGCTACAACCACTTCTTCCTTCCGGATTCGACGATAAAAAGAGTAGTTTCTACACTCTTCTGAGTTACTCAACTCCCCTAAAGAAGCACTCCTTTCATGTCCTTCATTGAAAAGATTATGAAAATAACCTCTCCATCTGTCTTTAACTGCGTTCTCTGTAGCAAGAACCTTTCCATCCTCATCCTTGATGCACCTCACTTGGTTTAGGTCCCTTGTCTTCTTTTCCCTTGCTCTAGCTAGTTTATAGATATCCAACTCTCCTTCTTTGGTATCTAGTCGTTTATACATATCGTCGTAAGCCGCTAACTTAGCTTCTCTGACCGCTTTCTTCGCCTCTTGCTTCGCTTTTCTATACCTTTCACCATTTTCATCGGTCCTCTCCTTGTATAAGGCTTTACAACATTCCTTCTTAGCCTTCACCTTTGTTTGTACCTCCTCATTCCACCACCAAGATTCCTTTTGGTTTATTAATTAAGTAGAAAATTAACTAAAACTACTCAATTAAATCAAACATGTTACAGTAATTAAGTTTATTAATTAAGTAGAAAATTAACTAATTGCATCGTTTACTTTGACAGAAAAGAATAGAAATATTATAGTAATAATTGTCTTGTAGTTCAAAAGGGGATATATATGGTTTTTAAATGAAAAATAAATAAAAAAATAAAATCTCTGAAGAAAAAGTTTAGAAAGTTGTTGACGTAATTGATATCGATTATATATCATCATAAGTTAACCTTGATCATTTACAAGGATGATGAGTAAAATTGGAAAAAGGGGTGAAATATAGCGACGGTTAAAGTGGAAATTGTAGGGAAACAACGTTGCATGCATGCATCAAGGCCGAAAGGGTGTGTTTTTAACTCTCCTGTATATATGATGAATTGCTTGCATGCATGCTTTGCTTCCTCTATTATTTATTTATTCAAGTAACAGTTGCTTCCATGCAAATTATCCATCACTGCGCAAGTTCTCCAGCGTGAAATGAAGATTAATTAAGGAAAAACGTGATCCGTTTAATTAGGCACTTAATTTGGTGCATCATGGTTTGTAGTTTGTACTTTAAGATTCCAAAGTACGACTGGAAGAGGTTGCTCTCAGCCTTTCCCACAGTCACAGACTCACAAATAAAAACTGGGAGGCAATATCCATGTATGTATTCATTATCGTGGAATGTGCGGTGTCTTGCTTTCTGCCTTTTCCACAGTCACAGACTCACAGACTCACAGACTCACAAATAAAAAAATGGGAGGCAATACCCATTTGTTGTTCACCGTTATGGGCAGGACAGAGTGAAAATTTGACGTGTGAAGGGCTGAAAATAGTAAAGCCAAAGTACATAAAATAAGAGATTAAAGATGTAAAAGGACGTTTTGTTAAATCCTAGAAAAGAATAAATGGAACGATATTGAAAACCACGAACCAAATAACCAATATAAACTAATTTGGTGGGAAGGGAGCAGGCGCGGAGCCATTAAGGAACAATGATGGTTTCGGGTCTACTCTAACAAATTTTTTTCCACAGAAAAAACTAGAGCTACCCCTCTAATTTTCCAAGACTTTTAAGGGTATTAGAGCTCCAAATCTTTTTCTTATCCCTTCATTAAGTTTGACTTGAGATTGGTTACTCTTATGCAGTTAACCAACCTCATTGTGAGTTTTGAGGGACTCAAGTAATCATTAGAAGAGGGAGAGACATGAAGTTGGCAAGAGAGCTGTTTTTTTTTTCTTTGTTTTTTTATTCCTTAAAGTCTTTTAATACTATTACTTTTTCTTTTTTTTTTCTTTTTTTTCTATATTTCCCTCCTCCTTTCTTCATTCTTTCGGTTAAAGGGATTTTTATTTTGAATCTGAGTCATGATCTTACTGGGCATGGGGGTTGAGTTCAGGAAGAGGTTAATAAGAATGACATCATACCAAACTCGAATAATGATAGTCAGTAGTTAGGACACAATAGATCCTTATTTTTCTTGGATCAGAAGAGCTTTTTAGAGTGAGACTTTTGGCCCCTCCTGAGCCAAAATTATAGCTCCGCCACTGGGAGGGAGGGAGGCAGCAATAACTTAAAACTTGTAACCTTCATGATATATATTTTTTATAGTACAACGATATATTTTACCTTAAAGGGAGGGGAGAGTTCGGCTAAGTCACACAATGAGCAACCTAATTTGGTATTGAATTTGCCCTCCACGAGATTCGAACATAAGACATTTCACGTACAAGTGAAGAAAAATATCACTAAAATAGTACAAGGATCCACTCTCTTACAACCTTCAAGATATATTACTTTGCGTTGATGGAATTCTGGTGTATGATAACAGACCACCGGATCTTCTACGGCACACACTAAACACTAATGGCCCACCACTCCTAATTTGAGGCCCACCCTTACCCTAATTTTTGAGCCCACCCCCTCCCAAACCCTCCCCCACTCCAACGCACAGAAAAATCCTGTCTCCTTTGGCCATATTACATGTATTGTGGAGTTACTCATACCATTTTATATATTATTATGTAAATTGCTAATATAGTCTCTGAATTATAACCTAAGTAAAAATTAGGTCTCTAAATTATTATTTTTTGAAAAATTAGTTCTTGAATTATAAAAATCTGCCAATTACATCTCTAATATTAGATTCAAAGCTATTATATTCATTTTTTTGTCAATTTAAGTAACGTTACTTCCATGTGATACACATTGGAGAGTAGATTAGTAATTTTTCATAAAAAATAGTGTATGAAGTTAACTTTTGAGAGTAAATTAGACGTTAGATCTGTAACCTATATGAAATGTTAAGGGCTTATAGGCAAGAAAATAACGATATTACACACTAAAGTGTGTCAAATGACTTAAGTTGACAAAAAATTGGATAAATTAGTAGGGATGAAATTAGCAATTTTAAATGAATTTAGGGGCTTATTTTACCAAAAAATAATAATTTAAAGACCTAATTTTCACTTAGATGATAGTTTAGAGACTAAATTGGCACTTCATCCTATATTTTGTGTACATATAAATTTTTTAAAAAGAAGTAAAAATATAATACGGAATGAGAGAAATGAGAGAAAGCAAGAGAGAGAGAATGTGAGTTTTTTCATTTTTGTTTTTTTATATTAGATATGCTATGATAACATGTGGGTGAAGTTCGGAAAAAAAAAACAAATTTTAGTTTGTGTAAAATCACATTACTGCCCATGGTTTTATTTGTAATAGAAACCCAAATTGTCTTTTTTTTTTTTTAAGCACATCGATATTTTTACACTAAGGAAAGGAGGAGTTCGGTTAAGCCACACAATGGGCAGCTTAACTTGGTATCGAATTCGCCATCCACGAGTTTCAAACCTAAGACTTCTCACTTCCAAGTGAAGAAGAATACCACCAGACCGTAGTACTGAGTGGCAAATTATCTTTTTACCTATGCTTGGTTGACAAAGAAAATTTTATTAATAGGTAATTTAGATTTTATTACTAATTTAGTTATATTGTTAGACCATCTCCAACCCTTGGGCTAAAAGCCAAATTTTTTAGCCCGGAAAATTTAGCTTTTAGCCCAGAAACATCTTTTCTGCTCCAACCCTTCTACCCTAAAATTTTAGCCCGGAATTATTAAAGAATGAAATTAGCCTAAATTTTTTTCTTAAATCAATTTTTTTTTTTAAATAAATATGTAGATTATTGTAAATTAATTTTATGAACATTTTAATCTAAAAAAATTTAAATTCCGATAAACATTTCGCATTTAGCCCGGGTGGAAAGCTGGAGGGTATTTGGCCCAGAAATAGCATTTGGCATTTAACCTAAAATTTTAGCATGGGTTGGAGAGTGTTTGGGGGGGGTAATTTGGCTTTTAGTCCAGGGTTGGAGATGGTCTTAATATATATATATATACACACACACACATGTAATATGATTACTTGTTAGAAATCTATGTCATTAACTCATCCCACTAAAGCACCTCACACAAAACTAAGACTTTGGATGGCCCAAATCTCTTTATCTCTCTCTTGAACAATCCAGATTCTCTAGTTCATCATCTCTAGACACAGATCCAGAGATCTCTCTCTTGAACAATCCAGATTCTCTAGTTCATCATCTCTAGACACAAAGATCCAGAGATGATCTGAACTGAGAAAAGAAGGATGGCGGAATGGACAAGAAAGAAATGAATATGAAGTGGTACACAAAATTGAAACCAAAAGCAACAAACTGAAAACTATTTAAATTAATTTCACATGCAAGTTTTTGTCTCATGCATCATCCTTCGTTTCTCCCTCCCTTCACCCTTCGCTTGTTCATATTTTTCCTCATATTCCTTTCCTCTATCTTTATCACGGATAATAAAAAACATAACGCTAAAAACAAAATGGTTATCAAAATTGCTAAATTTGTTTTCTAGCTTCTGCAAAATGTACACGCTAGGTGCAGACTGGGGATGCAAATTAGGCTCACCAACACAACAATTGCCGTGTGGAACTTAAAAGTAAGTCAAAGGGGTTTTATGACTTGTGAATCTAAAGAGTAACAAGTACGTAGCCTACAAAATTCCTAGCTTCTTTGGGCCCCCCTTAGGCAGTAGGCACTCATATTTCGGTTCCTTAATCACAGCTTTGCCGGCCTTGGGCGTGTAGTTTTGACATGTCAGCAAAAAATACAGATCAGAGCTCTTCGGGCCTTCGGCATAACATACACTTCCAGCTCTTAAGTTCTGCTAATATTCATGCCCGTTCAAATAGCCATTCTAACACTTCCAGGAGTTTTCTAGTCAACAAGAAGATCAGTTATAAAAAATCAGAGGATCAAACTCTCATCCAGTTTGGCACTAAAGAGTTGTTTGCGAAAAAGGCTGCACAGCTGCTGCAGACAGAAGCGTTCACACAATTCACAGTAATAAGCAATAGAACCAAAATATTAACTGCGAGTTTGCTATTTCAAGAAGAGATATGCAGAAAGGTGCAACGAGGGGTGACACAATGACCTCACTCCTCCTTTGTTGGTCCGAACACAAACCACTCCATCGGTATTATGCCATTGGAGTGCAGAAACTGTCATTTTCTAACCACTGATGTCCTGATTCCTGAAACCCCTAAATAATTAGTGTCAAATTTCACATGATTACCATATATACTCACAAAGATCATAATATACACAAACACCGACCACTATTGTTTCTTGATATGCACTGACCTTACTGTATCATGGCAGCGAATGCCTCAAAATGTGGGGGTTTCAATGGCCAATTACTAAAGGGAGGTCTTGTTTTTAGAAGTTTTGAGGTTAAATTGTATTCCTGTGCCCTTTCCTGCATAAAGTAACAGGGTAAAATTAGCTGATGGAAAAAGAAATGATATCCAGTAAATGAACCACTTCTTTTTCTCTCTATTGTTTGGCTGTTGCACAATATATAAGCATCGGTTGTTATATAACTACAACAACAACAACAACAACAAAGCCTTTTCCCACTAAGTGGGGTCGGCATATATGAATCCTAGAACGCCATTGCGCTCAGTTTTGTGTCATGTCCTCCGTTAGATCCAAGTACTCAAGTCTTTTCTTAGGGTCTCTTCCAAAGTTTTCCTAGGTCTTCCTCTACCCCTTCGGCCCTGAACCTCTGTCCCGTAGTCACATTTTCGAACCGGAGCGTCAGTAGGCCTTCTTTGCACATGCCTAAACCACCGGAACCGATTTTCTCTCATATTTCCTTCAATTTTGGCTACTCCTACTTTACCTCGGATAACCTCATTCCCAATCTTATCCTTTCTCGTGTGCCCATACATCCCACGAAGCATCCTCATCTCCGCTACACCCATTTTGTGTACGTTGATGCTTCACTGCCCAACATTCTGTGCCATACAACATCGCTGGCCTTATTGCCGTCCTATAAAATTTTCCCTTGAACTTCAGTGGCCTACGACGGTCACACAACACGCCGGATGCACTCTTACACTTCATCCATCCAGCTTGTATTCTATGGTTGAGATCTCCATCTAATTCTCCGTTCTCTTGCAAGATAGATCCTAGGTAGCGAAAACGGTCACTTTTTGTGATCTTCGCTAGATTGCTCCGGTCATTAGTGTGGATAAGTATATAAATGGATAGAGATAGGAAAGCAAACACAAGATGTATGTTATTCACCCAGATTGGCTACGTCCACGGAATAGAGGAGTTCTCATTAATTGTGAAGGGTTTACACAAAAGCAAACACAAGATGTACGTGGTTCACCCAGATTGGCTACGTCCACGGAATAGAGGAGTTCTCATTAATTGTGAAGGGTTTACACACAAGTACATAGGTTCAAGCTCTCCTTTAATGAGTACAAGTGAATGATTTAGTACAAATGACATTAGGAAATATTGTGGGAGAATGATCTCGTAGCCACGAAACTTCTAAGTACCGGAGTGTGGTATCGTCTTGACTTGCCTTATCTGTCTCATAGGTAGATGTGGCATCTTCTCTGGAAGTACTCTTCCTCCATCCAGGGGTGGTTTCTGTAACTGGTGGAGATGCACAAGGTAATGTATCAATTTCACTTGAAGCTTACTTGTAGTTTCATGTTTGGTCAAGCGCGATACAAACCATGTAGTAGGAGTCCCCCAAGTCGCCGAGCTAGGGGATCTGCTGAAAGAGGCGACAGACAAGGTAAGCAATCAGAGCTCCGGCTGATTGTTCACATTCTCCCTATCTTGCAGGCAGCATGAAGGATAAAGAGAAGAAAAATGAGGAGAGATGATATGGGATACTTTTGCTTTTGAAGAAGTAACTTTCCACAGGCTTATTCTTGAACTGGGCTGGAGGGTTTTCTGGTTTCCTCCAGAGTATAAGGCCGACTGAAGAATTTGAAGGTCAAAACAAGTCCATCAAATCTAGAGTACGTTCGACCCTGCTGATATGGGATACTTTTGCTTTTGACAGAGTAGTGGATGTATCGGCACGTGTGCTGTTACGCTTGTCTCCACATGCTTCCTTGTATCCTTCTCACTTGCCCTATTTGTTCCTCAGGCAGATGCGGTATCTTCCCTGGAAGCATAAGATTTTGAAGATGAGTACTCGAGAGCAATGCCAGGTAAGTAATCAGGTAAGGGGTTCCAGGCAGTCAGTTCCTGGCTGGAAGCTTGATTCCAAGTGCTGACTGATTGCTCTCTTTCTCCTTGTCTTGCAGGTAAGAACAAGGCCAAAGGAAAAGACAGGGAAAAAGCATGATATGGGATACTCTTGCTTTTAACCCTGATGATATGAGATATTCTTGCTCTAGTATAGCTTGTTTACAGAGGTATTATCGGGGGGAAAGAAAGCTGAATATTTCGAAAGGCTTCGTTGGGAGTGCCCTCTCAGATAAGAGAAAGGGTTGAGCATTTTTGCAGGTCTGCCTGTCCGTTAGGGATGGAGGTCGACATATATAGGAGTCTCCCTAACATCAAGTAATAATGCTATTCCTTTACCCTGCTTGGTTATAGCACGGTAGTGGGAGCTGCCAGCTTCACATGTTTTAACCCTGTCAGAGCACTTTGAAAAAGTGGTCTGTGGTATCTGAAAAGCTGATGTTGCGTGTGAAGATTACATACAAGCTTTATCCAAGGAGATCCAGCTCTTGAAGTTGGGAAAGTGGTGCCTCTTCGATTTTCGAACAAGCAATCCTGTCGGGGATCTGGCTCTCGAGATTCGGAGAACGATGCCTCTTCGATTTTTGAGAAAGCAATCCTGCTGGGGGTCTGGCTCTCGAGATTCGAAGAGCGGTGTCTCTTCGATTTTTGAGAAAGTAATCATGTTGGGAGTCTGGCTCTCGAGATTCGGAGGGCGGTGCCTCTTCGATTTTGGAGCAAGCAATCTTGTTGGGAGTGTTTTCTCGAATGTGAGTAAAGGTTGGACGTGTTTGCTAGTCTACCTTGCCACGAAGCACAGAGGTTGACACACAGGGACTTTCCAATTATCCAGCAGTGGTACTGTTCCTTTACCCTCTCTTCGATTTTTGAGAAAGTAATCATGTTGGGAGTCTGGCTCTCGAGATTCGGAAGGCGGTGCCTCTTCGATTTTGGAGCAAGCAATCTTGTTGGGAGTGTTTTCTCGAATGTGAGTAAAGGTTGGGCATGTTTGCTAGTCTACCTTGCCACGAAACACAAAGGTTGACACACAGGGACTTTCCAATTATCCAGCAGTGGTACTGTTCCTTTACCCTCACTTCGATTTTTGAGAAAGTAATCATGTTGGGAGTCTGGCTCTCGAGATTCGGAGGGCGGTGCCTCTTCGATTTTGGAGCAAGCAATCTTGTTGGGAGTGTTTTCTCGAATGTGAGTACAGGTTGGGCATGTTTGCTAGTCTACCTTGCCACGAAGCACAGAGGTTGACACACCGGGACTTTCCAATTATCCAGCAGTGGTACTGTTCCTTTACCCTTGTGGGTAATAATATGGTAGCTAGACCTTCAAAATTTATGTGTTTAAACTTTGTTAGTGTTGTTTCTTTGCAATTCTTTTACCCTTCTTGGTCAGAGCGATGTAGTGGGAGCTGCAAGCTTCACGTGTCTCAACTTTGTCAGAGAACTTTGGCAAAGTTATCTGTGGTACCCATGAGCTACTGTTGCGTGTGGGAAGTGGGTGATTGAACAGTACGATTCATGTGCTTTCTACTTCGTCAGAAATTTTCGACAGAATGCCCATAGTTTCCGCAAAGCTGAGTGTGCGTGTGACAGGCGCTGACAAGGCTGGAAAAGTAGGTGCCTCTTCGATTTCTGAGATCGGCCCTCGTGGTCTCTGAGCATCCCAGCTTTTGAGAAAGCAAGCCTCTTCGATTTCTGAGATCGGCCTTCGTGGTCTTTGAGCAGCCCAGCTTTTGAGAAAGCAAACGCCTCTTCGATTTCTGAGATCGACCCTCGTGGTCTCTGAGCAGCCCAGCTTTTGAGAAAGCAAACGCCTCTTCGATTTCTGAGCAGGCGCCTCTTCGATTTCTGAAGCTTCGTCGAGTGCAGATTTTTATAAGAGGCTGACATTAAGTTCCAAAGCACACTTGAATATCCACCAGTAGAAGCTCCATTCTTGCACTTCTAAGATCTTGATTTGTCCGACCTCTTCTCTCTTCAACACCTTTGAAAATGTCTGGCCCCTCCGACCGTCGTTTTGACTTGAACCTTGTTGAAGAGGCAGCCCCGCCTTCTCCAGACAACATATGGCGCCCATCCTTCGTCTCCCCTACTGGTCCTCTTACCGTTGGGGATTCCGTGATGAAGAATGATATGACCGCTGCGGTAGTGGCCAGGAACCTTCTCACTCCCAAAGATAACAGACTACTTTCCAAACGGTCTGATGAGTTGGCTGTTAAGGATTCTCTGGCTCTCAGTGTTCAGTGTGCAGGTTCTGTGTCTAATATGGCCCAACGCCTATTTGCTCGAACCCGCCAAGTTGAATCATTGGCGGCTGAAGTGATGAGTCTCAAACAGGAGATTTAGAGGGCTCAAGCATGAGAATAAACAGTTGCACCGGCTCGCACATGACTATGCTACAAACATGAAGAGGAAGCTTGACCAGATGAAGGAATCTGATGGTCAGGTTTTACTTGATCATCAGAGATTTGTGGGTTTGTTCCAAAGGCATTTATTGCCTTCGTCTTCTGGGGCTGTACCGCATAATGAAGCTCCAAAATGATCAACCTCTGATGCCTCCTCCTTCTAGGGTTTTGTCCAGTACTGAGGCTCCGAATGATCCTCCTCCGGTGCCTTCTCTTTCTGGGGCTCTACCGCCTGCTGAGACTTCTCCTAAGCAACCTTTGTGAAGGCTCCCTCTTGTTTGTTTATTTTGACTCAAGTATATGTACATATTTGTAACTTATCGGGGATATCAATAAATAAGCTTTCCTTCATTTCAACGTATTGTGTTAAATACACCAAAGCCTTCTTCGCTAAGTTCTTTGAATTTTCTTTTGTTGAAGCTTGTATGTTGAAGCTTTGTGAGTGGAGCATATAGGTTGAGGTAGTGTTCCCTTAATTTCCCGAGTGAGGAAAACTTCTTGGTTGGAGACTTGGAAAATCCAAGTCACTGAGTGGGATCGGCTATATGAATCTTAGAACGCCATTGTGTTCTGTCCTGTGTCATGTCCTCCGTTAGATCCAAGTACTCTAAGTCTTTTCTTAGGGTCTCTTCCAAAGTTTTCCTAGGTCTTCCTCTGCCCCTTCGGCCCTGAACCTCTGTCCCATAGTCGCATCTTCTAATCGGAGCGTCAGTAGGCCTTCTTTGCACATGTCCAAACCACCGTAACCGATTTTCTCTCATCTTTCCTTCAATTTCGACTACTCCTACTTTACCCCGGATATCCTCATTCCTAATCTTATCCTTTCTCGTGTGCCCACATCCAACGAAGCATCCTCATCTCCGCTACACCCATTTTGTGTACGTGTTGATGCTTCACCGCCCAACATTCTGTGCCATACAGCATCGCCGGCCTTATTGCCGTCCTATAAAATTTTCCCTTAAGCTTCAGTGGCATACGACGGTCACACAACACGCCGGATGCACTCTTCCACTTCATCCATCCAGCTTGTATTCTATGGTTGAGATCTCCATCTAATTCTCCGTTCTTTTGCAAGATAGATCCTAGGTAACGAAAACGGTCGCTCTTTGGTATTTCTTGATCTCCGATCCTCACCCCTAACTCGTTTTGGCCTCCATTTACACTGAACTTGCACTCCATATATTCTGTCTTTGATCGGCTTAGGCGAAGACCTTTAGATTCCAACACTTCTCTCCAAAGGTTAAGCTTTGCATTTACCCCTTCCTGAGTTTCATCTATCAACACTATATCGTCTGCGAAAAGCATACACCAAGGAATATCACCTTGAATATGTCCTGTTAACTCATCCATTACCAACGCAAAAAGGTAAGGACTTAAGGATGAGCCTTGATGTAATCCTACAGTTATGGGAAAGCTTTCGGTTTGTCCTTCATGAGTTCTTACGGCAGTCTTTGCTCCTTCATACATATCCTGTATAGCTTGGATATATGCTACTCGTACTCCTTTCTTCTCTAAAATCCTCCAAAGAATGTCTCTTGGGACCCTATCATACGCTTTTTCCAAATCTATAAAGACCATGTGTAAATCCTTTTTCCCATCTCTATATCTTTCCATCAATCTTCGTAAGAGATAGATTGCCTCCATGGTTGAGCGCCCTGGCATGAACCCGAATTGGTTGTCCGAAACCCGTGTCTCTTGCCTCAATCTATGCTCAATGACTCTCTCCCAGAGCTTCATTGTATGACTCATTAGCTTAATACCCCTATAGTTCATGCAATTTTGTACATCGCCCTTATTCTTGTAGATAGGCACCAAAGTGCTCATTCGCCACTCATTCGGCATCTTCTTCGTTTTCAAAATCCTATTGAAAAGGTTAGTAAGCCATGTTATACCTGTCTCTCCCAAAACTTTCCACACTTCGATTGGTATATCGTTTGGGCCTACTGCTTTTCTATGCTTCATCTTCTTCAAAGCTACACCCACTTCTTCCTTCCGGATTCTACGATAAAAAGAGTAGTTTCTACACTCTTCTGAGTTACTCAACTCCCCTAAAGAAGCACTCATTTCATGTCCTTCATTGAAAAGATTATGAAAATAACCTTTCCATCTGTCTTTAACCGCGTTCTCTGTAGCAAGAACCTTTCCATCCTCATCCTTGATGCACCTCACTTGGTTTAGGTCCCTTGTCTTCTTGTCCCTTGCTCTAGCTAGTTTATAGATATCAAACTCTCCTTCTTTGGTATCTAGTCGCTTATACATATCGTCATAAGCCGCTAACTTAGCTTCTCTCACAGCTTTCTTCGCCTCTTGCTTCGCTTTTCTATACCTTTCACCATTTTCATCGGTCCTATCCTTGTATAAGGCTTTACAACATTCCTTCTTAGCCTTCACCTTTGCTTGTACCTCCTCATTCCACCACCAAGATTCCTTTTGGTGTGGGGCAAAGCCCTTGGACTCTCCTAATACCTCTTTTGCTACTTTTCGGATACAACTAGCCATGGAATCCCACATTTGGTTAGCTTCCCCCTCTCTATCCCACACACACTGGGTGATTACTTTCTCTTTGAAAATGGCTTGTTTTTCTTCTTTTAGATTCCACCATCTAGTCCTTGGGCACTTCCAAGTCTTGTTCTTTTTTCTCACTCTTTTGATATATGTACATCCATCACCAACAAGCGATGTTGATTAGCCACGCTCTCTCCTGGTATAACTTTGCAATCCTTACAAGTTATACGATCCCCTTTCCTCATTAGAAGAAAATCTATTTGTGTTTTTGACGACCCACTCTTGTAGGTGATCACATGTTCTTCTCTCTTCTTAAAGAAGGTGTTGGCTAAGAAGAGATCATATGCCATTGCAAAATCCAAGATAGCTTCCCCATCCTCGTTTCTCTCCCCAAAACCATGGCCACCATGAAAACCTCCATAGTTGCCTGTCTCCCTGCCCACGTGTCCATTTAAATCTCCTCCTATAAATAACTTCTCTGTCTGAGCAATTCCTTGCACCAAGTCTCCAAGGTCTTCCCAAAATTTCTCCTTCGAACTCGTATCCAACCCTACTTGAGGTGCGTACGCACTAATCACATTGATAAGTTCTTGTCCTATTACAATCTTGATTGCCATGATTCTATCTCCTACCCTCTTGACATCTGCAACATCTTGTGTCAAGGTCTTGTCCACGATGATGCCAACACCGTTTCTCGTTCTATTTGTGCCCGAATACCATAGTTTAAACCCTGAGTTTTCTAGATCCTTTGCCTTACGACCAACCCACTTAGTTTCTTGTAGGCACATATAATATTTATCCTTCTCCTCACCATAACTTCTACTACTTCCATAGATTTTCCCGTCAAGGTTCCTATATTCCACGTTCCTAAACGCATTTTGCTCTCTTGAACTCTACCCTTCTGTCTTAGCTTCTTCACCCTTCCCCGTCTAATAGGATCAAAGTACTTCTTTTGTGTGTCCCGTGTAAAGTTGATAGGAGCATATGCTCTCAAACAACTTTGAGTGGAGTCGTTCGAAAAGAAGTTTCTATGCCCCCTTGCTCATTTAACACTGCATCCGGGTGCCGATGGAGATACAGCGACCCTTGCTCACTTATCACTGTGCTCAGGCCACACAGCGCGCCACTTACGGGTGACGCCCTAGCTTTAGCGCGATTTCGTTCTGGATTCATTTTCATAAGGATTCGACGTGATCATGAATTTTGTACTAAAAGATGTTGAGCAGCAGACGACTTCTACAGATATCTAAAACTATGTAGATCAATCCATCTTACACAACAAGCAACAACTAATCTTTCAGTTACATGCGAACAATGGTCTCAGTACGTAGTTTGAACTTCTAAGTAACCAAAGCACAAAGACCTCTTAAACAACTTCTGCAACTTAGCAGGTTTTGATAGTTTAATGTCATGAATTTATTGATCACTTGTAAAGAATATTCCTAAAACTACATAATCACCTAGATCAACAAAATATTATATAAAGAAGTCTGCAAATCAGTATCTGGAGTATTGACCATACCTTGATTTCTTGATAAGACATCTCATTCACTGGGATTTTGATAGGGCATTCATGTCTTAGAGACAAGAAAATTTCCAACAGCCGCTTTCTGTCAAACAATAAGAATGATATGAAAATGGTAATAAATGCCTTCTCTATATATAGGTTGCATCACACTTATCACCCTACTTGCATAATAATGACTCAGTTGATGGATAATGTGCCCCTTTCGCAGCAGTTCCTTGCTTTCTTCCGGTGGTTCCAAGAATGACTTCATGCAGACCAGATTTATTCCAACATATCGAATACCTGAGAATCAGAACATTAAAGAATCATGTACCAAAAACGTAAAAGCATTAAGAAACCAAATAATTACATGATAACTTTGTTGGAACATGTCCGATTAAATTACCCGCATGTTAAAGTGGTCAAAGCTGTCTCAGAATGCTGAAATTCCTTTTGTGGTGTTGGAGCTGCCCATATTAATGGCTGCCAGTAGCATTAGTGTACACGTTTATGATAACCTTCTCACTTTCAAAATCACAGAGTACAAATTTCACTGACCTGGTTCACTTGGAAAGGACTCATCAGCTCATTTGATAATGGTTGAACGCGATCGTGCAACGCTTGTTTCAATTGATCAACCACAGAAACCATTTTATAGTTTCGGGATTGCCCAACAGTGACCGAAGAAAGGTATACAGGTTGCAGAAAGAATGAAAGCAAAGATCCTGGAAAAGAATGTGAATGTGCTCATCAACTAATTATAACTAGAAGTGCCCAAACCATTTAAGTACTTCCAGAAGAAGTCAAGCTGTGAATATCCAGGATCGACTGAATGAAACCGTATCTGGAGTACACGACAGATCAAACGACAAACCTTGAACTCCAACAACATTCCAGCGGGCTATCTTGTCAGAGCAACTAACTGATAATGTTGTATCACCGCGACCAGGCTTTCTTTGTACCAAGCCAATTAGTTGTGAAGCATCACCTGAAAATGGAAGCAACATACAGATCCTACATCACTCAAGTTTCGTATCAAGTGCAATGATTCTTTTCTCAAAAGGAAACCAACATAAACCACTACAGAAATACTCTTTACTAAACCCACCGCATTGGGGTAAAAAATGGAAACAAAGTAGAGAATGGTTCAAAATTCCACTACCATTAGTCTTTGGTGGAGCCTCTCCTGCGATGACATTATTAAGCTCGTCCAAAGATGAACCCCGTTCTCTCGGTGCAGTATGTTTTGGAGGAGACAATAGTGAACTCGGAGAAGCAACCCCACCTGCAAGAACCATAAACAGTATAACTACAATTGAGGTTTCTCCTGATATAAGTTAACATCTAATTAGACCAAAAACGATATGAACAGAAAATTACATGGCAGTTGCGATATGTACAAGTGCAAATTCCAATCCTTCTTCATTGTGTATTTTCTTTCGCCATCACCACCCGGGTCCAATTCAAAAATCAAGTTTTTAGCATCACAGTTTTGAATCTGCGTGCTTTCATCGTCATCACTCTTCTTACTACAAATTTGAGAAAGACATTGAATCTGTGCATAGAAGAACCTACCACCACGAAACCAGCGTACCCGAATAAGCACCATATATTACAAATATGAGGTACATATATAGTTAACAAAATATTGTTAAGAACAAGGGTAAATGCAAATTCCCCCCAGAAAAATGGTAACTTTTCAGCTAAGCATCCAAACTAAACATATTAGCACAATGTCCCACTGTATTATTATCATCTTACAAAATAATTTGGATGCATTGCTTGTAACATGAAGCAATTTCTATAAATTAGCAACTAGAAACTAATTAAATATACAAATTATATCAAATTAAGGAAAAACAAATTTTGAGGAAAAAAGAAAATAAGAACCTGAGTAAAGATCTTCGAGCTACAATCTCGGCGTGGGAATCGTTGACGACGTCGCCGTGGGGACTCCTCAGTGACCGCCCTATGCATTTGGTCCCAGTTCCCAATACGACGACTTCAAGCTCTGAGCAAATGGAAACCGTTACTTAAAGCACTGTTTGGTTTCCGGGAAAATGCAGGAAAATTGAATTCGCGAAGAGAAAAGAAATGGAGGGGGTTAGGGGAGGACCTTGAGAAGGGGAGGAGAGGAGGAAAGCGGCCAAGACGGTGACTTCGCGGCCCTGAGGCTTGCCTTTCTTGGGGAGGGAGTTGTAGAGTGCGAACACTTTGTCTGAGACCTTAGTGCCCCATGCTACTTCTGAGGAAGAACGAGAAGGAGACGACGGCGTTTCGGAGCAGGGAGTCGACGCCATGGTTTGGAAAGTGGCGGGTAGTGGGGTCAGTGACTCAGTGAGAGAGAACAGAAGCTCCGGTCTCGGAGTTCGGGTCGCCCGGACCCCTACGTAATTGTAGTTGGGCCGGTTAGGTTAAAGTAATTGGGCCTAGTCTCTTTTTTTTTTTTCTATAAAAGCTTAAAAGTTATATCTTTGCATTTTGCACTCAAACATTAATCCTATTTTTTTAAAGAATAACTAGCATATGGGTACACACAAAGTGTGTGAGAAATTTTTTTATTTTTGTTTTTAGAAATAGAAGGAGAGAGAAAGAGAATGTGGGAGTGGGAAGTTTTTTTTTTTTTTTTTTTAATTAGAGATATGTTATGATTACATGTAGGTGATGCTTTGAAGAAAAAAAAAATTTGGTTGTGTGAAATTATATTTCTGCCCCATATTTCTTATTCATATTCTGTTTTAATTAGAGGGTAAACTGGTAATTTCATAGGGTTTTGGTTGACAATTAGTGTTTTATTAATTAGTAGAGATATTTCAGAATCCTAGGAACTAACAAACAGGATTCTAATTAGTGGCCGACCTTTATTTAGTCAAGTTGGTTCGAATAGTATGTTCCTTCTTTTGTACCTTCATTCGAATTCCTCTTATAATTTATATGAATTTAATATAATTATTTTATATTTATAGTAGTAGGGAAGGTAAATTTCTTACCCTAATAGGATTACAACTCTAATAGAATAATATAGGATAATGCTATGAAGACTAAATTTGGAAACAAAGTTTTGAAAACTAAAGGACACAGAAGTTGATGATTGGTTTATTACTTAAACGTTGATAAACATGCTTATTCTTATTGATGACACATCATTCAGTTTCCAAATTTAGTCTCCCTAGCATTACTCAATAATATATAATCCAAGAGATATAGTAAAATCCCACAAGGACGTCCCAAGATATGTTAGAATTTACACGATCACATTCCTAATCTAATAGGACTGCAACACTCCCCCTCGAGTGTGTAAATACTCAAACATAATCTCGCATCAGGTCTTCAAAGAATGAAGTACATCAGTTGATGAAGTCGTCAGCACAACGGGCGAATGCGAATCTCAAATTAACGAAAGCATGCACTGGTCATAAAACTCCCAAAATATTGCTATAGTAAAACCTAAAGTAGGCGAAAGCTTATAGACTAAGAAGAAACTTGAGAAGTATGTATAAAGTAAAAAACAAATGTTATACGGAATGAAAGTAGTCAACCTCATAATGGTATGACCAATCCAAGATGGGTGCCTCATCAAAATCTCGTTAGGTAGCAAAAACTTGGTGGAAAAATGCTCCTGATTGTGGGAAAAAAGAGTACATTAAAATCAAATGAGTATACTTCTGTACACTCTTCATGAGTTTGACAAAACTTCCAAATAAAAGAAATACAATAATATCACAGCAACATTGCTCTTTACCCCCATCAATACGGCCTTGGGAAGGTATACTAAACCTAACTTGAAGGCATCGTCCCTATTCTTGCACATTCGGTCCGCGCGCATACTAAGCAAAGCTCGGTCCGCACAGTAGAAAACACTTCATTACAAACACTAACGTTTGGTGCAGGCCCACTTTGAATATTATTTATTTACCAAATAATTAAAAATTACTGCATCAGTTAGCACCTCAATTTTGTTGTGATATGGTGGTGCCTCTAGTACTATTGATTCAAAAATTAGCTACACTTACTATGTTTTTTTTTTACAAATGTGTTAAAGATTAGTATTTGTTTATAAAAAAAAAAACATAACAAAACAAAACAAAAATTCTTGCACTTTAAATTTGGTATCGTTTTTCTTGATTGAGTCTCGGCCTGTCATTTTATCAAATCATTCTACCTATTGTTTATTAAATTGAGGGTATGTTTGTCATTTTGATTATTATTTAACATAATTTTGCAAGGAATGATTAAAATGATTGATGGTGGATAAACTCAGAGAACAATTATATTGATTTTAAATCTCAATGACCAAAATAAAGGAGTTATGCAAATCTCAATGATCATTTTGATTAAAAAACCTCAACTAAATTATAGGCCTTTTGCGAATATCCAATTATCACATTCTTAATTCAGTAAAAGAAAATTTCTTATTATTATTATTGTTTATCCTAAATTATTTGAGTGGGAAAGTGTCTGGAAGAAGTCAACTTGTTGACTGCAAGCATTTTAGATCAAATGTTTTTAGATCCCAAAAGCATTTGAAATTCTTTCTGCAAGAACAAGAAGCACTAGTTATGTACTTCTTGAAGGAAGAACTTCAAGTGCTTTTTCAGGATTCACTTACATTTTTACTAAGAATTGGTTCAAAAATATTTTCACCAAAAATATTTTTTTATCATTTTAAAAGCAATTCCAAACACATAATTGTTGGAAAGTGGAAGAAGGCTGGATTAGGAGATTGGTTGGTAAATGCTAGTAAAGACTGATTAATCATTTTAATTAAACAAAAATAAAAAGGTGAATTATTGATGTGGAAAGTCTTCATTATCGTAGCTTGAAATAAAGGCAATGTTATTAAAGTCCTCCATCATACTATTGTTGATTTTGCCATTAATATAATATAAAAATTGAGAATAAGACACTAGTGGAGATATTAGCAAAAGATACCACACAAACAAAGCAATCAAAAGTTCTTAATATAGAATGAGGATACTTTCCGGATTCTCTTTGTGAGGATCTTAAGGATCCTTTTTGTGAAGATCTTAAGGATTCTTACATTATGTATGTTCATTGTATATCATGAGTTTAGTTTTGATCAGATACTGTTTGTGTTTTATTTTAAATAAAAAAAATTAAAATGATTTCTGACCGCACGATTTACAATGAAGAGACATGTTGTGAAGATCTCCGGATCCTCACTCCTTAATATATTCGACGAACTCCAGACCTGTATTCCATATGGCACATCCTAGGTTCAATTCCAAGCGCTAGTAAATCGCACGATGGTAGCCAATGGGAGACTGAAGTGTCTCAATGAGTCTTCCCGACCCTAAAAGAGCAAACTGTCATAGCTAAGTCACAAGTTGGTTTATTTTTATTTTTTTAAATCTTAATATATTCTGGAAAATTTTGTTTAGCCCACAAAATTTATCAAACTAAATAAAAAAAAATGAAAATAAAGGCAAATTGGCTGTTTAGTTGTGTTGCCAGACTGCTGGTTGAACAGCGGAACACTCAACACAACTGCATTACTGCTTACGGCATGAAAGCGAAGGCGAAGGCGAAGGCGAGACCAACCAAATTAGCGGGCCTAACCCCCACATGGTGTCCCCCCAGCCACGCCAAAACATTAACATTCTGCATCTGAGAAATTGCACAATTGCTTGTTTTTCTACGACCCCCTCCCTCCAGAGCGCGTGGAAATGACGACTGTACTAATTTTTCTTTTTCTTTTATAAAAAAAGTATAGCTGCAGATGGATTATCTTGACGAATAAGATCGTTCAAACTCTATGTTTTTTTTTTTTTTGAAAAAAGGTTTTATCACAGTAATCTATCTTTTCAGAGGTTGAAAAGACTCACAGAAGTATTTCAATCTTCCATAGTAATTATCGTGCAATTCACCAATGTCAATAATTGAATTCAAGATGTACCGTGTGAAATACGAGTTTAGAATTCATTCCCAACCACTGAATGATCATGTAGTAATTTATGTATTTGATTACTCTCTTTATGTCTGATGCCATTTGTGAGCCTCCGCACAAAAGAGGTTCTCCTAAAACCAATTTTGTTGTACCCAAAAAAATTGATTAATGGTCTGAACTTTATTCCATATAGTGTAGTTTTCAAAAAGGTGTGGAGAGATAAATCAGTTGGTTAACAATTCGATCTTATTTGATGTACAGTTAAAATAGTATTATCTAGCATGAATCTTTGATTATAGTAAATCTAACATGGGTCAGTGATCTTATTCAACAAGTCTCGTAGTTTGAGGAACCTCCGAATGTAATTAATGATCTACTTGTTGAGGATAGTAATCTTATAAAATGTTAGGTTGCAGAACGTTTTTTTTTTCCCTTAAATCGGGTTGAAATTCCCAACAAAGTTTTTATCAAGACCCATTGTTGTCCACCCTATCCTCTAACATGTACGTGTATTTGATTCTATAATTGAATGAATATCGTACTTTTCTTTAAAAAAAACATAGGTCAGCTAATACAATACTGATAAGTATTTGGTCTAGTGTTTTTTTTTTTCTTCCTAAGCTGATTGGAGATGTAAGTTCGATTTTCTCGTATTGCCTATAAAAGGAGTGCTCGCACCAAATTCTAAGCCATCTCTTATAGTGGTTTGAACTTTGAATGCTTTTGGGTTCATGTGTTGGTCTCCTTAAAGATACACAACTTATTAACAAGGAGATGTATGATCCAAGACAATTACACATTGTTAAGTCGATGGTTATTGGTTACACTTAAGATCAAGGTACGCTAGGTGCCACTTCGTACTATAGTATAGTAGTATTCATCTTTACCTGTAAATGAGAGGTCTTAGATTCGATTCTCGCCAAATATGAATTTGAACCACATTATTTGCTAACTTATTGTGAGGCTAAGCCCACCCCCTCCCCGTAGTGTAAACAATATCGTTTTTTCATATAAATAAATAAACAAACGTTAGGCGCTAGTCAAGCGACGGACTGGAGCCTAGAGCCTAGGCTGCTAGGCAGGGCCAGACTTATGGTTTGGTGAAAGATATCGATTTTTTATCTGAGTAAGAGTTTCGACCTAGGCGGGTACCTATGCAGGTTTAGGCGGGCGTTTAGGCAGGCTGGGCGGACACTTTAGCAGGTCTAAACACACTTTCTTAATTTTCAAACGTCTAGAAATTAATCAAGACGGTGACTAACCGTCTAACACCTAGGTGGCGTTAAACGGAGATTGTTAGAATAGTGCTCAAGATGCATCACTCTAGCTAGGGTCGGAAAATCCTTTCAAAACTAATAAAGGATGAGTTTTGATGAACCGTTGTAGTTACTAATCAGGCTCAATACATAGCTAAACGAATT